GTCAATTTAAGTGGCTTTAGTGGCTCCAGGCTGGCCTGGGCGCTGCTTGCTGCAGGTTCTCTCAGAGCAAATGAGGGGGGTTGTCCAAAAATAGGCCAATGCAGCACACATTTGAGGCTCTTTCCTACCCTCTAGCGATGAAATGAAGGTATTTAACAGCCCAGGCAAGGAGTCCCTGGGGAGGAAGGCTTTGAGCAAGCTGCAGCCTTGGGCTGAGCTGGAGCCGGGGAAAATAAAGCCCAAAATCAAGCTAATAAAGGAGAGAGCTTTTGCATGGGTGGGGGTTGGGGGGGATCAGCTCGGTTTATAGCACCAAAAAGGTGATGTTTTCTTTTTTTTTGGAAGCCAAACACTCTAAGTGGTCCTTATGCATCCCAGCATCGGGCCCTTCCCGCAGCCCCCGAGCGCAACCACCCTCCGAGCGAACCCTTCCCTGTGCTATCAACCCCTTGCCGGGACCGTTTTCCACAAACTGAGCCCCTCTTGACTAATCCTGGCAATGCAAAATAGCATTATTTCTTCCCCCCCCACCCCCTGGTCTGCAAGGGGAAGAATGAAAAAACAGGAGGAAAAAGAAAAAAGGAGATTTATCACCATTTTAGCAGCCAGCACATCTCGCTGGCATGAAGAACATCCTGCTCCCTGTTTTTTGGGGTGTTCCACCCAAAAGCCTGTCTGAAAGCATGCATGGGGGTGCCCTCACCGTTGCTCCTGGGGTAGGCGGCCACGGTCCCATCCTGCAACCCCGCAAACAGGTACTCGGGGCTGTGCTTCAAGCAGAGGACGGGTTGCATGCCTGGGCTTTTGCAGGTCAGCAAGCACTGCGTCCCCATGTCCACGCTGCCGTAGATGGCGATGCTGGGGAGGGAACGGGGAGGGGGGGAAATGCAGGAGGAGATCGTGCCCGTCCTCAAGGTTCTGGGCTGGCAATTGCACCAAAGGACAGGCGTAGGAGATGCGAGCTCACCTGCCATCCCGCAACCCCAGGCACACGGTGGGATGCGGGGATGTGGGGGGCTGTTCGGTGGTCAGTTGGGGTTCCTGGGTACCCAGTGGTTCCCCCTCGCCCGCCTCGGGGATGTACTCCATGCACAGCACCGGTGAAGCCACCGGGAAGGACTTCACTGTCCGTGGCATGGCACGGTTGAGGGAGAAAATCTCCACCTGCCCCCCTGCACCTTCTTGGCCCCCTCCAACCTGCAGGGACCAGAAAATGGGTGTTAGCACCTGCCACGAGCACTGGGGAGGGGGTTTGCAGTCAACGGGACCCAAGTCCAGTGGGTTTTGCCCCATCTGGGGGTTTGTTTTGCTCACCCAGAGGTAGCCCTGCGGCAGCGAGGTGCTGATGGCAGAGAAGCCCAGCAGCGAGGACTGCACGGGGTTGTGCACTGCAGCGCCAAGCTGCGGGAAAAAACAGGGTATGGGGGGGGCCGTAACACCCCCAAATTACCCAACACATGCAGGGTATCAGTGCACACCCCAAAATTCAGGATCCAACCAAAGCCCAGCTTGTATTTTCAATTTTCCAGGGTGGATTGCAGCAATTTTTGCCTTTGCAACCAGCTTGGCCAGCCCATCCAGCCCATTCCACCGTGGGATTTCTGTCTTTATTCCCCAAAAGAGATGGAAGTAAAGGGGAAGGAGGTACTGGGGGGGGGTGGAGAAGAGGTTGGCCATGGCTCTTACCTGCAGATCGAGGGCCTTGGAGGAGAAGGCGGGCATGTGGCAGGAGAGTATGGGGCACCAGAAAGGAGCTTTGCTCTTCTTGTCTTCATCGGGACAGAGCCAGCCCGGCTGGTTCTCCTCCCCTGCAGCAGGCAGAGGAGATCGAGGATGGCCGAGACACCCCCCAGCATCTCTCCCTGTCCCAATGGCACTCCAAAAGTAGGAATTTGGAGCGCAGAGCTCTCATCTCCAACCCCAAACCACCATCATCTGTGGACCTGGGGCACATCTCACCCCTTTCCTCCAAACCAACGCACCGCACCGCAGCATGCAGCAAAAAAGTCCCCAAACCCAAATAATTATATCTATAAAGGGGGAAAAACCCCCACCCTAATGTGTTTCTTCACGTTAGACTTCAACGTGTTTCATTTCTCACTTTTGGACACAGGAATAGCCCCCAAGCTTCCCGGATTAAAAAAAAAAAAAAAAAAAAAAAAAAAAAAAAAACTAAAACCCAGCAACAAACAACAAACCCACATAAACTGTTAAAAACAAGAGAATCAAAAAAATCCTTCCAGCCCAGGGGGATCCAAGCACTTAAGTAGGATTTCAAATTACTTTTTTTTCTTTCTTCCATTAAACAACTTTTTCTTTTTTTTCCTGCAGCAGCCGGTGGAGTTAAATAGTAATAGGGGTAGGGAAGCGGCAGTGGGGGGGCTCCTCCCTTGCTTATCCATCCCATTTCATGGAACACGGGTTGGCCCCGACACCATCGGCACGAGAGCCAACGGAAATCCACCACCACACAGTACCATCCCAGAGATGCCACCCAAGAGCAGCAAAACACAAAGCATTTTGAGCCAGAATTAGCCATTCCCATCATTTTCAGCATGCAAATCCCCAAAATGTTCTCCATCACCTTGCTCCGAATTTTCTCCCCTGCCCCATTTCGTGTCAGGATGCTTGGGGCAATGCAAATTCCCCCTTTCTGCTCCCAAATTTGGCTTTTCAAAGCAAGGGCGATGGCAAGCAACACGCTGCGGGGCTACTCACGCAGTCCTATCTTGGCCAAGTGCAGGCGGTTCACCCAGGAGATCTTGCTCAGGGGGTTTGGAGTGATGAAGACCACCATGACGCTGATGGGGCGGCCAGACCTGCGCAGGGAAAGCATCACCAGGTTGGTCTTCAGCCTCCACCTCCTCCTCGCCAGGGTGGGAAGAGCCCACCCATGATCTGCAAACTCACTTGTCTGGCTTCCCGGGCAGCAGGAGTCGGAGGCGGCACTTGTTGGCGGAGTGGATCTCTTCCTCCTTCACTTTCATCATCCTCTGCAGGGCCAAGCACCAGTCCTGGGCAACCGTCATGTTCAGGTTCTGGGAGAAAAGTCATAAATCATAGAAGTGCCTCCAAAACAAGGCTGAATCATCCCCAAATTTCATCCATGGGGCTCAGGAGGACAGGGTGTCCAGTGGTCCCCGAGGAACCGCACAGTTACTGCAAAGCACTGAAGCTTGGTTCTACCCAAACCACGAGTCTGAGTAGATACCTGGTAGGTGCCATGCAAGGTGCTGATGAGAAGGGTGATCTGCTCCACCACCGCCAGGTCCTTCTGCAGGTCCTGCAGCTCCTGGAAGAGCCGCGGTGGCCCCAGGTAGACTTTATCTTAGGTGGAGAAATGGAGAAACGAGGTCCATGGAGGATGCTCTGTCCCATCCCACCTACACCAGCCCAACACCGGATCAAGGGGTGGGTGCTCACTGTGCGAAGCCTGTCCGGCCGGCACGTGCTTCTTGGCGCCGGCATTGTGGATGACGACGTTGTCCTTGTCGTAGGCACCGCTCTCCTGTCCCACCTCCACCACCTGTACCTGCGGGAGGGCCGTGCTCCACTTCAGCACGTATTTGGGACCCAGGGGCACCAGGCTGCTAATTTCCAGCTGGCCTCTGCCGAGGGAGGATGCAAAAAATACAGGTAAATAAATCAGCAGGCACCGCAGCTTGCCCTGCAAGCCCTTGCAAAATGCACGTTGCAAGCCCAGTCCCATTTAGCAACCCCACACCGTGCACCGGTGCATGCCTGCACCCCCAAACATGGGGCACGCAACCACAGCAGACCACGCTCGGCACCTACCCTGGGTTCACCGGCCTGGAAGAGGGGAAAAAAAGATTAATAAAGAGGTGTTACGGGGAGCTCAAGGAGGTTTTTTTTTTAATCTTTACAGCATCAACCTCCACCAAGCCCTGAGGTCCCAGCAGCCTCCCAGACCCTGCACTGACTCCAGAACCCCCCAGCACCAGGAGATGGCAGCTTTGTATGGAGGCATGCCAAAAGTGGGGGCAAAGCAACCCCAAACCAGTGGGCTTCCCCCTCTGAAACAAGGGGTGGTTTTAAAAGCCTTTGGGGTAGGTCTGGGAAGTTGAGGTGGGGAAGGTCGCTCCGTCGACACTTTGCAAAGTGATTTTGGGGTCTGGGGCCACCGACACATACTTGAAGTTGATGTTGGCGCAGACCAGCATGTCGTTGAGGAGGAAAACCTTCCGTTCCTTCGACTTGATGAGCTGCCCCCGGTCGCCATACACCGTCTCCGTCAGCGTCTCGCAGAGCAGGAGCTGCCGCTGCCCCGAGCTCAGCAGCTGCGGAAGAGATGGAGCAGGCGGGGAGGGAAAGCTCAGCCTGGGGGCTCTTGCAAACCCCCTGCCCCCAAATTTGGGTTGCTCTTCCCTTATTGCAAGGATTTGTCTCCAGCCCGGAGCATGCACAGCCCCAAGCTCTGCAGAAACGGCCGTGCAACAGGCTCCGAGGCTGCACGATGCACCCTGCATGTCCAACCACCAAGACATCAGAGTCCTGAAGGACCAACATGGCCCTTTTGCAACCCCTTTTGGGTCTCTCTTCATCCCCCAGCCCTAAATCCTGATCCCAGGGCTGAGGTGGTGGGTGCCCTGCTGCAGTTTTTGCCACCACGGCTGTCCCCAGCCCAGGATGTGTTGCAAGCGCTTCATTTAGGGCTTTGGGTTGTTTGGTTTTTTTACCACCACTGATTGCAAAATCACGCGGCTGAGGCAGCAGCTCATCCTTGCTTTTCCCTTGAGGGGAATTTCCCCATGCCAGCCTCGAGATTTACTTTTGCTCGACACCCTTTCAGAGACAACAGGGATCTTGGCTTCCCGAAACCTCCGACACAGAGAGCAAGGTGGAAGCTTCAAAGCTCAACCACCAGCTCCCAAAATCCACCCATCACAAGGATGAGGAGGTGAGGCTGAAGGACCCACCTTGTTGAGGCTGCTGCGGTCACTGATGCTCTTGCTGAGCTGCTGGATTTCGGCTACTTGGTCGGCCAAGCGCTTCTGCTCATTGAGCTTCTCCGCCAACGTCTCCAGCTCGGTGAGGGCCAGCTGGAGGGACAGGCGGTCCGCATGGCCCTTGGGGGTGTTTTTCAGCATGTCCTGGGGTGGGGGAAAGGATGGGGGACAAAAACCACCCCAGAAAAATCAGTTCCATTGGGGATGCTACAATTGGAAGCGCTTTCAAGCGCCTTCGAAATCAAAGCTTGGAATGGGATCCTTGGGAAAGTCCCCAAAGCTGCAGCCAAAGCTGCCAACCCAAAACCATGTCACGTCCCTTGCTAAACCCTTTCCTGCAGCACCCAGGCTGCAACAAATAGGGTGCAAAGCAAGGTGGGTGCTGGTACCCCTCGCCGGTACCTGCAGGAGCAGGATGAACTGGGGGAACCTCTGGATGGGCTTCACCATCAGCCCGTAGAGCGTGACCCGGTCAGCACTGGCCATCTGCCTCTTCTACAGGGGGTGGAGGGGAAAAAGGAAAAAAAGAGGAGTTTGCACCCATACTGGTGTCCAGCAGCACCATGCGCCCGTGTCTGGGTCCTGCTGACCTTGAGGAAGTCGAGGAAGGCAGGTTTGGTGAGACAGGCCTTCTTGATGAGGGACATGGCAGTGGTGAAGTTGTTGACGTAGTCGCTGTAGACATCCAGCACCATCGACTTGGAGAACTGGGGAGAGGACGGGAGAAGAGCCACGATGGCACGGGGCTCCCCCAAAAAGAGGGGGGTGGCAAAGCATGTGTATTTTTGGAGTGATGCTGAGGATGCTGGTGGTACCCCAGGGTTGGGGCTGCATCACTTAAATCCTCCCAGCAACCCCCCTGCTATCATTGAGGTGGTCCAGGGAGAGGTTTGGCAGCAGTCCCCCCAACTTTTCCTCCTACCGAGGCCACGAAGAGGTCCCCAATCTTCTCCGCTGAGTCCCACTCGGCCACACGGGAGGCAAGGGCGATCTGGAACATGGAGTGGCACTGCAGGATCTCCTTCAGACGAAAAAACACCACCTGGCACTTCCTAGCGCTCAGCACCTTCGGCTCCATCTCCATCAGCGGGTTCCTGTAATCCTGCAGGAGATGTCGGTGCATCAGCATCCCCGCATCCCTGTGCCCCCCCGGCCAGGACCCCCCCTCAAAAGGGGGTCCCCCACCTGCAGGATGCGTTTCAGGGAGTCCACGTAGCTCCGCTCGCTCTGCACAATGGAGCCCAGGATGTGCCGCCGCACCACCTGCAACGATGCCGGGGCTCAGTCCTCGTCCCCCTTCACCCCCAAAAAATGGGATTGGGGGGGCAACGCGGGCACAGCGGGCTGCAGAAGCGCTGACGCGGCGGCACCGCGTTCTGCTGACTCGCCCTTTCCCTGGTTGCTCAATCACGGGACCAAAGGGAAGCTGTGCCCCCCTCCAAATCCTCCTGAACCCCCAACCCGTCCCATGCCGACCTGCTGCGGGCTCAGCCCCTCGGGCATGGGGCCCAGCTCCGGCGGCGGGTGCTTCATGTCAGAGACCGTGACCTCCAGGAAACCCGTGTCCTCCTCCTCCGAGTCCCCTGCAGGGGGGGGAAAAAAAAAACCACAACCAAATACCAAAACACCCCAATTTTAGACTTTTTTTGGTCTAAAGAAGAGCCCGCAGCCCCCTCCGCCGCTTGGCTGGGATGCTGCAGGGGCTGCATTTGGGTTTGGAGATGGGCCCCAGCGTCCTCCCAGCATCGCGTGTCTGTCCCCAAGCTCCGGCCGCTGTCACCGGACACCAGCATGAGTCAGGCTGCGAGCAGGGACCCAGCCAGGTCCCCACGGGAGGGGACAGAGGGGGCTCCTGTCCCCAAAAAGCCACCCCGCTCAGGGGAACAGCCACCCCCTGGTCTTGCTCCAAGGGTGGGTGCAAGCAGGGAAAATGGAGGGGGGAAAAGAGCCAAAAGCAGCGCGCAGAAGAAAATGGGGAAGGCAAGAGGCAAGCGCCCGCTGCGCGGCACAGCAATCCCT